GACCGATTGGATTTCGAAGTTAACATGGTTTTTCCCTACATGTCCATAGGAGCAGCATGCGACGCGCGTACGCGCGCGCAGCCGCGCGTGGTGGGTATTATATTGTCCACGGTGAGGATTCGCTATGTCGGCCTGGAAACTGAAGTGAACCCCTAGCGGCGACAGATTGGATTTCGAAGTTAACATGGCTGTTCATACAGTTCCATCAATTTGAATGCGAGCAGCGTGCGACGCGCGTGCGCGCGCGCGGCCGCGCGTGGTGAGTCTTGAATTGTCCGCAGTGGGAAAGTCGCCATGTTGGCTTGGAAACTAAATTGAACCTTTAACGGTGGCCGATTGGATTTCGAAGTTAACATGTTCCTTTCCCATGCTTGTAGGAGCAGCGTGCGACGCGCGCACGCCGTGCGCGCGCTCGCGGCCTCGCGCGGTGAGTCTTGCATTGTCGTTGGCCCCTTTTGGTGTTTCGGAGTTTCCGCCACCTCCGCCCTTCGCCCTGGCCCCATGGGGCTAGGGCGCCCGCCTCCCCCGCACTCCGCCGCTATGATGGCGCTTTAGGGCTTCCGCCCCCTCCGCTCTGGACACATGGGGTTTCAGGGCTTCCGCCCCCTCCGCACGCCGCCGCTGGCCCTCGGGGGCTTTTTGGCTCGCGTCCCCTCCAGTTGTCTGGGGTCGTCTTGGGTCATATTCGAGGGGTCTCCTGAGCCGTCCTGGGCGGCCGCGAGATGAGGCAGATCTTTCGACGACGGCCTGGCTTTGCGGCGGCCAAGGAAGGCCCCTCTGGCGGCGCCAAAAGGCCCCGAGATAACATATCCCAATCGCGGTTTGGACGAACGCTTTTCTCGGGTTCGCCGGAGGGCTTCAAGAAAGACGACGCGTGCACTTCCCCGTGCCCCGTTCGATGGCACGCCAAAGGCCTCGGAGTGTGTTGGGGCCCGTTTGGGGCACCCCCGCTCGGATGCCTCGGCTTGAATCTCGCGCCAGCTTCTCTCGGCAGCTAGTGACTAGTGTTTCCTTCTTTCCGCGCCGAGGGGGGCGGAGCAAACGTGTGGGGGCGGGGCCCTGAGCCTGAGTGCCCCGCCCGGTAGCCCTGCCCGATGCATTGCTTCTCCGAGTTATGTACGGTTGTAGTGAAATTGCCATAGACACTAGAGATTGCCCGACTTACCTTCCAAGGTCCCCCAACAACGCTCGAGCGCGCCCCGCTCCATGGCATGGGCCCCCGGACTCAGGGTTCTGAACCCCGCAGCGGCGCTTCTGCAGGCAAGGCGCCGGTGCCATGCGGAGCTCTGTTTGGGGGCAGCGGCGCGCCAGCGTCGCGCGTCCCGCCGCGGGGAGAGGCCAGCCATTCAGTTCAGTGGCTGTGAAGTCGCAGTCCCTTCCGCCTCGCGTCCTGTCTCTTTCTCGTTTTTTGCTTTTATCTCTCTCTCTCTCTCTCTCTCTCTCCTTATTGTTTTTGTTTCTCTCTCTCTCTCTCTCTCTCTTTCTCTATCTCCCTCTCTCTCTATTGTTTGCTTTTTGTTCGATTGCTGTTTTTTGTTACCTATTTGTTTCTCTATATGTATCTCTATCTCTCTCTCTCTCTCTCCCTCTCATGTTTTTGTTTTCCCTCTCTCTCGATCCTCTCTCTATCTGACTCTATCCTCTATCTATCGCTCTCTTTCTTGCTTTGTTTATTTGTTTTTTCTCTCTCTCTCTCTCTCTCTTTCTCTCTCTCTCTCTCTCTCTCTCTCTCTCTCTCTCTCTCTCTCTCTCTCTTCGCGACTCCTCCTTCTCGACCGTTCTTTTTCGCGCGCTCTCTCGCCTCGCTGGGTTTCTTTGGCAGTCGCGTGCAGTCAGAGCCCAGCCTTCCTCCTTCCTCATCCTCATTCTCCTTCCTTGCGTTCCATGCGCGGCGCGTCGGTCCTGGCGTCGCAGCCGACCCCCATTGCATTTTGCGAATGCGATTCGCGTTTCAGCAGCCGCGGGGCCTGCGAGCGGATGGTACCTGGCACCTGGTATCTGAATGACGACGAAGAAAATTGAGATGTGGATGTCGTGGCTCCAAGAGCCCGGTTCGATTCGGCCCTTGAGCCAGGGCGCCCTTTCGTTTGGCGCCGCGGGATGCGGGAAAAGAGCGCTGGGTTCGGAAGCACCCCCTCCCCGAACCATGCCGAGCACTTTCCCCGAGGCCGTTTGCCCAGTGAGATGGCGAAGGTAGGGGTGACCAGGACCAAGGGGATGGGGGATGGGGGGCCCGTGGGTCAGGGGAGGGGGCCCCCGAAGGACGCCAATGTCCTCGCGTTGGGTGTCAGTCATAATGTTGGCCAACGCGCGCAAAAAAGTTCCCGGGCAACAGAGCGGATTGCGTTCTCCAGAACAACTTCCGTGAGGCTGTGGTGGTGTCGTCCTCATCATTCCCCCCTCGTGCTTGCTGCGTTTGTTTCCTCTCGTGGTGCGTGCCCCAATCTTGTTTTCGCCTGCTGCCCGCGCCCTCGACCTCCTGCCGATGCTGCTCGCGCCCGGGCTTGTCGTGAGAAATCAGCCCCGAACCCCAGAGGCCTGGAGATCCAGCAGCCCGCGTGACATCGAGGGGCATGAGAGGCCTGGGGCGTTTGCAGATTGGCTGGTTTCGCAACCTTCCGCCTGAGCGGGAGCCGTGGGCCCCGCCGAGCATCGCTGCCATAGCTCTGACCGATGCTGAGTTCAGGGCCACGACGGTCTAATTCGTGGGATCGCTTCGCTGAATACGGATGGTTCGCTCATTGCCTGAGCCTGGGGGCAGCATCATAAGTATGTCATGAAAGGTTTATCGTTGTTGCTGCAATGGCGCCTCTCCTGCCACGTCTTCTCCTCGACGCGGTCGCTTTCATTCATCGTTATCGCGATGTCTTTGCCCGCTGTTATGCAGAAGTTTCAATGCGTAAAGTATATCAACGCAATAACCCCCCACGGCCTCGCGCCTCCCCGCAGGCATAGCGTAGATGGCATAGCTACTGCTCAAGCGCGCAGCGAGTTTCCCGGGGCCAATGCCTAATGCCCAGCCCCACGTGTGCGCCGTGGCCGGGGGGGGCGCGATTTCCGAACATTTTTAAGCATTTTTCCGAACATATTTCGAACATCTCCAAAAACACACCCAGAACATATTTCGAACATTTTCCTCGGAATCCTGGAATCGCACGTTTCCATACGTTACGTGACTACAACTCTAGCTTAGGGTCACTCCTACGTGTAGTCGAGATTTTTGCAGCGGGAGCTCGCGTCAAATTTTAATTTTGATTTTGTCATTTTAATCCTGGCCCCGACAGGCAAACCTGCGTCCCCCGCACCCGAGTCTTACGTCTCCCGATCGAGACGTTAAGCAGTTGCAGAGCGTCCCGGCTCGCTAATGGGCCCACCAAAGAATGTTCCAAGAGCCTTTTGTGTTCTGCGCGAAATAAGTTTAGAACCTTTGTAGCTGAGACTGTTTTGTTTTAGCACGTCGGGCTTACCTTCTAATACCATTATTGTCATGATCCGAACGCTACCTGGTTCCACAAACTGTCGTGGTAGGCCTACAGGAGTGCTTCGGGGGGCCTATCATGTCCCAAACCTTGGTGTACTTTCTTGTGCCCGACGCGGGTCCGATGCGGGCTCGACGTGAATTTGGCGTGGATTCGACGCGGATTCGACGCGGGTCCGACACGGGATCCGACGAGTCCGATATGGATTCGTATTGGCATTGTTTGGTGATGTATGCCGATCACATGACGCGGATGTTATGTAACAGTTATTGTTCGGCCAAGCTGCCCCCCGACCCGCCACCGACACGTGCACATGACCAAATGGGATACGTATACATGAATGGACAAAAAAGTATATCGTACTAGTCGGTGTCGTTTCCCTTTTTGGCAAAAGCTTGTACGAAGCCGCGCAGGGCCATGATAAGTGGCGACGGTGTTGTACTGAATTCGCTGTCGACAATAGTGAGAGCGATTTGTTCTAGTGTTTCCATCTTCCCCCTCCCTTCTTCCGTTTCCTCTCGTTCTTCTGCGTGGGGTGTTTTTTTCATAGTCGTGTTTTGTTCGTTTGTTAATTCAAAATCGTGATGCGCCCTTCTTCCCCTTTTATTCGCATGCGGCACTCACGTGCCAAACGGCGCAGTGTTTCTCGACTCGACTCTCTGCTCCTTTACCTTCTCCGCTTCTTCTCTCCTCCTTCACCTTCTCTGCCTCCTCCGCATCCTCTTCCTCATATTATTTGGTGTTCCCCTCTTCCTGTCCCTCTTCAGTCCTCTCCTGTCCCTCCCCGCGTCCCGTCCCCTCCGCCTCTTCTGGAGTAGTGGAACAAGTTTTGCATATCGGGGTCCTACGTGGGAGGCGCCGTGGCCACTCGACGCCGTCTTGAGGCTGTATTAGGGCATCGTGTTCGGGACGCACGTAGGAAGCCATCTTGAGCCAGTACGGTCTAGATTGAGCTATCTCGGAAGCTCCTTTATGGGTTCTGTGCGGCCACCTTGGAACCATTTGGGACGCTCCAGCCCCTCGCGCCGCCGCCCCGCCCAGACCCCAAGGGGGGCAGGGGCAGGCAAAGGAGTCCGAAGGGAATAGCTGGAGCGAGAAAGAGGAAGCGTCCTCCTCCTCCCTCCTCCGCCTCCTCCTCCGCCTCCTCCTCCTCCTCCTCCAAACCACCCCCGCCCCGAGGGCCGCTGTGATTGCGCGCGCCAGGCCTGCGCCGCGGCGGCGCGGCGGCGACCCCGGCGCAGGCGGTCATGGCTGAGCGCATCCAGCGCCCCGCAGGGGGAGGAGGAGGAGGAGGAGGAGGAGGAGGAGGAGGAGGAGGAGGAGGAGGCCCATCCAAAAGTTGCGCTGTCGGAGAGCCGCGATCGCTTGGGGACGAGCGGCCCCCGCGCGGCGCCAGACGTCGGCGCGGCGACGACGGCACGCGGGGAGCTCTCGCAGCTGCCGCGCGGCACTTGTGCGGTGGCCGGCCCCGCCTGCGCCTCCCTGCTTGCGGCGCGCCCGCGCCCCCCGGGCCGGGGCGAGGCGGCAGTGCGCGGGCGGCCTCCTGCACGCCCACCTCGAAGATGGACCCGCCCCCGCCAGCGCGATCGTCCTCTGCGATGTGAAGGGGCCCCAGGACACACAAATAGATACACACAGATAAAGAGATTCCCCCCATTTTCCTATACTTTCTGGGTTTTTGTCTTCCCCCCCACTTCCCATATTTCCCTAGATTTTCTGGGGAATCGAAGATTAATTGTGTCTGTGTGTTTTTTCCCCTCCTGACGATATCGGAGGGTGGCCGGGGATTCGCGGGCCGAAGCAGTGACGCCGGAGGTTCTCCCACGATCTCGGCCCCCGTAGGCCCGCCTCGGGCTCTGGGGCCGCAGGGGCGCAAAGCCTGCCAGGAACGGACCCCGGGAGGAATCGGGGGACCGATCTTGCTGTTATTCTCTTGCACAGCTGTGCTCTAGAGCTCGGACATCTTTATTTTCGTCGTGGTGGTGGTTCGTCCCCCTCAACCCCTCCCCTGAGCCTGAGCTCCAGCTCCCCTGGGCCACCCCCCCTTGGAGCCGCGCCTCCGTCCATGCTTCCCAGGGCAGCCCCCCTGGGCCGCCGAACCTTTTATTTTCGTCGTGGTGGTTCGTCCCCCTCGGCCCCTCCCCTGAGCCTGAGCCCCAGCTCCCCTGGGCCCCATCTTGGAACCGCCCCTCCGTCCAGGCTTCCCAGGGCAGACCCCCTGGGCCGCCGAACCCTTTGTTTTCGTCGTGGTGGTTCGTCCCCCTCGGCCCTTCCCCCGAGCCTGGGCCCCAGCTCCCCTGGGCCACCCCCCCTTGGGACCCCCCCTTATTTTCGTCGTGGTTCGTGGATCGTCGTGGCTCGTGCCCCTCGGCCACTCTCCCTGGGCCACCCCAGCTCCCCTGGGCCACCCCCGAGCCCCAGCTCCCCTGGGCCACACCCCCTTGGGCCACCCCCTTATTTTCGTCGTGGTTCGTGGTTCGTCGTGGCTCGTCCCCCTCGGCCACTCCCTGGGCCACACCCCCTGAAAGAAGGAGGCGCGGGCCTCCAGTCCTTCGCAGCTCCTTTGTGCAAGAGCCAGGGCACGCGTGCCACTTGCTTTGGTCGAAGGGAGAGATGAGATTGGAGCTTGTCCCTCTCTGGCCATCAGGGCGGCTTTTCATCGCCACGATTGGATTACGCTTGAAGTTCTGGCCAGAACGCGCCTCATGAGAGACGTCCTGGGGTCGCTTTTGATAAAAGGCCAGAGGACGTCCCGGTCCCATAATGTCACCAGCAGCAATCAAACAGTATGTCCATCCATGTTATTGTTTTTGTTTGGTTTCCGTTTTCAGTCCCGGAGGCCGTCGGAACATCCCAATCGAGAATCCGGCCCACGGGAAGGTGGTCGCAGAATTCACGACCCGCTTATTTGTGGACCAACAACAAATCACGACGTTGGAGGTTTGCGGAGGTAGGACGGGGGTTTCGGGGGGTCTCGGACATCGTTAGGTCGTCGTGTTTCTTCATGGTTCCACTCGAGGGAGTTGGGCACATGCAAACCGTTTGGCGGAACTGTCAGGAATTCGATTGCGTCCGGCAACCCTCGCGTGCATAAACCACTCGACGCGGAGATCCCGAACGTGTGTATAACTGGGCACTCCTCTGTGAGTATGTGAGCGCGAGCGAGTCGGAGCATGATGGAGACTCAGTGTGGGTCCGAATGCGAGCGGTGCTTTCTGATGCCCTGAGCCGCTCCATGTCGCTCTGTGTTGATCTAGGGCGGCCTCGTTCGATTTCTAACAGGACGCGCGCCTGAACATCCTTGCGAACAGCCTTAGGCCACGCTCGAAACAGCATGGAAGCACTGGGGCTGCGATGATGACGGCCACTGATTACGAGTGAGCCTGAGAAGCAGCGACCCTGTGCATGAGTAGCCAATTGCTGCGAGTGGTATGACATGCGAGCGGGCACAGCAATGCTCGGGTCATGCATCATTTAGATGCGCCGCGGGGCGCGCAATGAGTCAGCGTCGAGAGTGTTCCAAGCACCGCTGGCATCATGGGGCTCGGATCAGAGCTCCGCGCACTGTGCGCGAACAGGCGCTCTGCGTGAGAGGCCGCCGCAGTCTGAGCGCGAACGGGCCCGCGCAACCCGTTTGGTCGGCACCCACATGCCGTGCCTGGTGCATCGCGGCAACGTTGGCCCAGGTCCGCTGCCTTTGATAGCGCGGTTATCTTGGGGCCCCGAGAGAGAGAGAGAGAGGGAAAGAGAGAGAGAGAGAGAGTACCGTCGGCTGGGCCAGGCCAGGACGTCCTCCTTCTCGGGCCCCCGCAAGCTGAGCGCGCACGGGCCCGTGCAAGACCCCTTTGTGGTCTCCCTCTTGGGAGGGCCAAGTGCCACGCCTGCTGCATCACAGTGACCATGGGGCGGTGATAAGAGGCTTGTCCACAGGGCCGAGGCAGGCGGTTCGTTTTTCAGAGTTCCCCACGGTATGGTCGCGAACGGGTCCGTGCAACTCCCCGGGTCGGGAACCTCGTCGACGGCCTCAGCACAGTGTTTGTTTCATCGATGTGGCCATGGGGTTTTGAACATACGCTCGTCCAGAGAGCCGCACCCAGGTTTTCGAGTTGGAGGTCCCCGCAATCTGGGCGCGAACGGGCCCGTGCAACACCCCAGTGTGGCTCCCGCTTGGGAGGCCCAGGCATCATGACCAGCACACCGTGGCGATCAGCCAAAGAACTTCAGGAGGGGAAACATACAGACACAATGAATCGTGGATTCTCAGAAAATATAGGAGAATATATGAAATGGGGGGACGACAGAAACCCAGGAAATATGGGAAACCATGGGGAATCCTTTTCCTTGTGTGTATTTATTTGTGTGTCCTTGGACCCCTTGAGAACTGCCCACTGGGCCGACGCAGGCGTTTCGCGTGTGGTGTGCCCACCAATCTCGGCGCGCGCGCGCCCGTGCACAAACTCCCGGACGGCCGCCCCCGGGTTTGCCCAGGTGGACAACAATCGAAATGCCTCCTACATCTCGTTGGGCATGGGGTCCTGAAGCGGCTCGAGGCGTTTCGCTTCAGATGTTCGCACAATCAGGGCGCCAACGGACCCAAATGCAATGCCTGCTACATCGCGGCGATCATGAGCTCTGACAAGGCATGGCTTTCATGAATGAGTCGGTGTGTGGGTACGAGGGGTGATTGTTCCAGTAATGAGCGAAAGGGAGTGAACGTTAAGATGAGTGGTCTGACTGCGTGCTTTCCTGGGAATGGGTTCGAATGGAGCTTCGAATGTGAGTGCGTCTGATTTGAAAACTCCCTCCTCTGCGTTTGGGTTTGGATCTGAATAATTCGAATACGGGTGACTCCAGAGATGAGCGAGTTGCATTATGAATGAGTCTGTGCACAATTGAGTATTGTTATAAGTGGCTTGAATGGGATTGAGTCTGGGTGTGGGTGTTTCAATGCATGAACGAACCTTGTTGTGATTGATGAATGCGTCGAAGGTCGAGTATGAGTGAACTGGAATGCGACTGGCATTGGAATGGACGATGCGGGAGGCGGGAGGCGGACGGGTCTCACTGATCGCAAGAACCCCATATTTAGAACATGCGGCAATGCAACACATGGAACATCGCGTTTGAGAGACGGAAGAAGAATGAAACTGTTGTCGATCCCCCATGCATGGTTTTTGCAGTTGGCAACGAGGCTTCCCATAGATCTGCCGTCGGGCTCGTTGGGGGCCGTTCGGTGCCTGTTGGAGCTTGTTGTGGCCCAGGGGTCGACCTGAACGGTGTTTTGGCGATTTCGTGGGCCGTTGTCGTTTCGATGTCGTGTTGCAGCAAAGGCGGATTGAAAACAAAACGAGGGAACACGCAAACAATGCGAAAACGGAAAGCATTGTTTAGGGCGAGCCTTGCCCTGGCCCGTGCATCGCGTCCGCGGAGTTCTGCTTCAGCGCTGGGCCTGCCCGCGGTCGTCTGATCCGGCGCGGCCCTCAGGATGCCTCCGGGGTATCCTGGGCGGCTGGCGTCGGGTGCCTGGGGCCCGCGGTCCTTCGGGACTGTACCGCCCACGTCCATGCAGCGGTCTACTTCAGCTCGCGACAAGTATCCCTCCTCCGTGTCGTCTTCGTCGTCGAGATTATTCAATCGCTTCGCTCATTCCGGCGGCCCATATTGTAGCATCGCTGGCACTTGCTTGCGTGCTTGGGGGGGCATTTGGGGGGCCCCCTGGGGCCGCTTGGGGGCCTCTTGGGGGCCTCCTGAGGGCCTCGTGGGGGCATCTTAGGGCCTCTTGGGGGCCTCTTGGGAGCCCTTCGGGGGCCTCTTTGGCGCTCCTTGGAGCCTCTCGGGCCGAGGGCTCGAAATATCCGTGCGGGTCTCCCGTCTGGTCCCCTTCTTGGAGCCGTTTTGGGGGCCTCTTGGGCTGTCTTGGAGGCCTCTTGGGTCGTCTTGGGGCCCTCTGGGGCAGTTTTTGGGCCGTCTTGGGGCGATCTTAGGGGCCTCTTATGTGTGTGAATCCCCCTACTTTCCTCCTATCTTGCTCATATCCATCGCCCCTCTTGGCTCGGATGACAGGTACTCGATACTTGGAGGTACGTTGGGTAAAACCATCGTCCCTCATCGTCTACCGACGGACACTCGGGGGTGGGGTCGGTCCATTGGTCCTCCTCACCCTCACACAGGTTATCAGCCTTCTCTTTTATATCCGACATCGCGTCCAACCTGCGCCCCGACCTGACGACATCGGACTAGTTATGCGAGATGACGGCACGACACCAGTCGTCCGTCCTCCCGCATGATGAGTCGTCGCCGTCAGTCGTGCGCAACTTGGATGCTGATATGTCCGATATTCTAGGAGCTTCTCCCAATTTCGCGGCCCGCATGGCCATCTCTCCAGGAACCGACGGATTGGACGAAGCTATGCCCCCACCCAGTGCAGCGCAGTCAATGCAGCGGGAAACCGCAGCAATGCCAGCGTTGCCCACCCAGGCGGCACTTCAGCTCCACGCTATGCAAGCTGAGTTGCAACAGCTTCGTGCCTTGCATGCTCATAGCGTTTCCGCACCCCCACTTCCTA